ATCTCAACTTCAAAATACAGGACTGAGCGTCCTGAGTTTTATCTGGCAACCCTATCTTTAACACTTAACCGTACTGGGCAGGAATTCTCTTCCTGAGGGTGTGGTAGTCCCCACCCTCCTCCACTAGCTCTAAGACAGAGACTTAGTTTCAGAGGTGGGCTGTAACCCACCCTGCTGCTATTGGAGGCTCAATATATCTGGGGGTTTAATGAGCTTATAAATTTGCAGGGAGAGGAGGTTGGTGATGTTTTGGAGATTCAGGGCCTACCAAGAAGCTGTCCAAAGAGGCACTAGTCTGTGACAGTAGTCAAGTTCCAAACTCACCATCGAGCTGTCAGAGAAGACATCAGGGTGGTTTTCATAGATAAATTTCTCTACTCGCATCTGCCGCAGTTTGAACATCTTGGAGCCCCGGTTAGTGAGCAGCGACAGCTCCTCCAACATCACATCCCTTGGCACACTGATCTTCTTGCCCAGGTTCAAGCCTGAGCTCTCCTGTCCACCTTCCAGAGAGGTAGGGATGAAGAGACAAGGAAAAGAAGAAAATGAGGTTTTGGGCTTAGAACGCAGACACCGTCCACAACTAAGTGTGTGTGTCCCAGCAGAGATCACTGAGGGAAGCAGATGCTGTCTGTGATGTCTGATCAAATTCTGTCTAGTTTGTGAGAGATTTTGATTTCCTGGGTTTGGAGTGGGACAGAATGCATGGGAACTGGGGTGCAGAGTGGAGAAAATGGGATACTAGAATGGAGATGGTGAATGGGGTAAAAGGGGCATGGGGTACAGGGCAAAAGGAGTAAAGGAACATCATAGGTGGAGGCCACTGGGGAATTTGTAGCATGGAGGAAAGCCCAAAGGCCAACACTGTGTGGAATTGGCCACCTCTAAATATAGACCCCTGTCAACTTCTTTTCCTTCGCTTCCCCTCAGGGAACTCTGGCTGCAAACAGCCTCTAGGTATTGGGAGAGCTCTTCACATGCATGTACTCCTACCACCCCCAGGAAAAATGCCTAGGCAGTTTTCCATTTTAAGTGCTTACACAGGCTCCCAAGCTCTGGGGAAAGAAGTAAGAAAATTAATGATTTATCCAGACCTTACTCTGTGCCAGTTTCCATCACATGTATTTTCTTCCTCAAACATCCCTCACTGCCCTGTGGGTCCCATTGTCCTGGAGCTGCACTGCGTAATATGGCATGGGTATTACTGTCTCAGATTACAAGGTGAAAAGGGTGGAAGGGTGAGTAGTCAGTGTTGAATTCTTTCTCCCTCTGTCTCCCTCTCCCCTACCCCAGAAATCCTCTTTTCTCTTCATGTCTCTTCACCCTAAGACATATATAACCTTATGATATTTCTGTATCTCTTGGGCCAGAGATACTCTTAATAAGAAGTCCCACACTTGGTAGGTGCAAACATGTCATACCTCCAGTGAGTTCCATGACCAGCTTGCTGGATTTCCTCTTCTTGTTGGGGGCTGGGGTTCCTGAGAGTGGCATTGTGGAGGCAGATTCAGCCTGGATAGGGTGGGAAGGGGGAGTTGGAGGATGGACAGGGACTGGGAAAGGTGAGTATCTACAGTAAGGCAGGACTTCTTAACTTGGAGTTAAGGGCTTCAGGGAGCAAAATTTCATTAAATTTTCAAAGAAATATATATTCCCCCAAAAGGTGAACACCCACTGCTTTAGGGTTTCTCTTCTTGGGAGACGGGGCAGAAAGTATAGATGCACTCCCTGCCCCTACCTTCAACCAACCTCTTTTCACCTGTTTTACATAGAGCTGGCGCAGGGCTTATGGACACATTGTGTGTTGGGGGGCAGGGGGTAAAGCAAACAAATAACACAGGCAGGGCAATACACCCAGGTTTCATCGGCTTGGCAGGACTTGAAGTTTTATTTGCATGAGGATCTCAGATTGGGGCTGTCATTCCAAGCTCTGATCTCTCCTCAGTCTTCCACAAGCCCGGGGTGCATGGGGGAAGAGAAAAATGTCCTGCCAGGGTTGAGGAGATGCAGCCAAAGACAATCTCCATGGGAAGGAGAGGTTGTTGCTCCTCCATTGGGCCAGCTGGAACATAGCCAGGGAGGTCACAGCAGTGTTCCCTGCTCCCTTTCAGTAAGTCCCGCCCCAGACCCCAGAACTGGGGTGGAGGGGGGATCAGGGGACATTTGAACCTTGATGCATGTCAATTCAGCAATATCATAGCAGTGAGGAATTGAGAGAAGACAAGAACATAATAATAAGATCTGGCAGTGGAGGGGGACAAGCTGGGAAAAGATACAGACTCCAGCTCCTGCTTAACAGAAGCTGGCACTCAGCAAGATGCTCTCCTCTGCCGAGTCCTGTCTCACAATATATCTGCAATTCTACTAACTTAGTGGGGTCTGCTGAGGCCAGAGTCCAGGAACTGCTAAATAAACTCCCTGGACCTCTCTCAGCCCCAACCAGGTTCTTTTTTCCCATCTAGCCTCTCAGATCCTCTTCTCATTCCTCCAGTGCCTCCCCCAAAATCTCCCTCCCTGCCCCCCTTCCTGGGCCTCTCTCCTTTCAACTCTCTGTGGTTCCCCTGAACTGGACAGCTGGGAGCTGTGCATAGATGGGGGAGGGCGGCAATTCCCCCAGGATCGAGGGTCACTATTGCAGACACAGACAAAGCAGTCAGCAGAGTGGGCTCCAGCCCCTCTGGCCATAGAGCTGGACACTTACCGGCTGCTCAGGCAGTGGTCAGCTCTCCCTGGGGTCCAGCAGCTTTGGAGGACTGAGCTGCTGTGACCGGAGAACCCGAGCTGGGCAGGTGTGGGGGCAGTACTGGCAGTGGAGGAGGGAGGGTGGTTATTAATAGAGATGATGAGTGCAAGCAGCTCAAATGGCACAGGGGGTACTGAGACCCTGGAACCAAGATACGGCCCTCCTTGCCCAGAGGCTCAAGAAGGGGAGGAAAGGCCTTTGGGATTCTCCCATTAAGCTGTCTGAGCCAGGGATCAGTCTGCTCAGGGACTCCCCTTCCTTGGCACCTAGAGTTTGAGATCCAAAGAAGCATTCAGGGAGAAATTGAAAACTGAGAGGGAGAGAGGAAGCAGGCAGCAAGTGGTAGAGAGGAATTCAGAGTGGGAGAGTGAGAACCTAGAGAACATGTCCGGAGAGCCACTCACAGCCAATCTAGGCCGGAGCTGGAGGGACATGTGGGTGATTTTGGGCGTGGGAGGGCTTAAGGTTCTATGTTTGGGGAAGGGAAGTCTGTTCACAACGAAACTGCTCTTTGAAAGTTCCTGGATGGGTTGGTCTTTCCTCTGGGAAGACCAGATCTTGGCAGGATAAGGGACCAAATCAACCACATCCAGTGCTTCCTAGGCTGTCAGGCATGATGTGGGGAAGACTTGACCAATTTCTGCCTTTTCACCCCCATTTGCTATTGAGGTGCTCAGTTCAGCCTGTTGTGCTGGATAGATGTCAATGTCTCCCTGAGAAGTAGGCTTCTGACCTGCCAGGGCCTTACTCTCTGAGGTTCCTACTTGGTATTTTCTTCAAAGGGAGCACATACCCCATAGGATCTGGACAATCTCATTCACATTGTTTCAGAGGAGCCTCTGGGGAGGGGCACAAGCTTGAGAGCCCCCGTGAAGGAAGCTTGTCATTTGCCTAGCCTCTTCCTCAGTAGCTGCATGAACATCCTAGATCCTGCTCCATCTTCTGCTCAGGTTCTGGAACCAGTTGCTCCTGCACATCTGCTGTAGCCACCACCACACCATTGTGGCTGCTTTAAGAAGTGGCTTTTGTAGCTCCCAGAATACCCTTCTGTCCCTCTGTGAGCGTTCCACCCTTCCTGACCATGTCCTTTTCCCACCCTGAACTTTTCAGGTTCAGGCTAGGGGCTGAAAGGTCACCCCACCCCCTTGTAGTTGGCCTCTGCCCGGACCAGTTTGGTTTCCATATCCCTCATCTTTTGTCCTCCTTCTCAATTCCCTCCTAACCCAAAGAAGCAATTAGAAGAAAAAACATAAATGACAAAAGGTGATTTCATCATCACTACTATCCTTCTCTCAAAAACAAAAACAATGGGCCGGCCCCGTGGCTTAGCGGTTAAGTGCGCGTGCTCCGCTGCTGGCGGCCTGGATTCGCATCCCAGGCGCGCACCGACGCACCGCTTCTCCGGCCATGCTGAGGCCGCGTCCCACATACAGCAACTAGAAGGTTGTGCAACTATGACATACAACTATCTACTGGGGCTTTGGGGGAAAAATAAATAAATAAACAAATAATTACAAAAAACAAAAACAAAACGAATTGAAATTTTGGTCTCCCATGACGGAGTACCTAAAACTACCAAGTAGATGGAGACAGAATACTTAGCCTATGTTCTCAGAGCCCTTCCTTTAGAATTCTGAGAGACAGTGTACTTGGGAGCATCAGGGTCATGGGCCTGGTTACTGGTACAAATATGCCCCCTGCTGGTAAAATTGGGACAACGGCACTTAGAAGTCTTTAATTCTAACCTGCCTTCCAGTTCCTTCTCTTCTTGATTAGTCTCAATCCACACTGATATACTCTCTCTCTCCTTCTTCCCTCTCCCATCCCACCTTCACCTCTAGCCATTGCTTTCCTTTCATTTAATTCCTAGAAACTATTTAACATGGCTGCTTCCTTCCTCCAGGGAGCTAGAAAATACTGATGGCAAAAGGCTCAGAGGGTCTTTCAGACTTCTCTTGGTTCTGTAAGCTGAGGCCTTCTCTGGGAAATATGGAGCAAGGGATGGGAAAGGGGAGAATCTGGATGGAGAATGTGGGAAGAGGGAACCAAGGGGAGTGGTAGAGGTGGCTAAATTGGAGCAGGACAGAATTGGTAGAGAAGAGCAAATGATTAGGGGGTAAAGGGCAAAGGGTGAAAAATAAGAGGGCAGGAATGGAGAAAGAGATCAGGAATCAGGAGATCAGGGAAATGGGTTAGAGAAGATTAGGGGAGATCAGCATTTGGGTATAAAACTAGAAGAGATGACAGCATCAGAAGGTATGGGGCATAAGTTTATTGTGCACAAATCAAAGTACTGTGACTCACACCCAATATGCAAAGGAAATTATCAACTTCCAGATCAAGCAGCAAACGTGACTGGTGGCAGTCATGGTGAGAGGGAAGTGCATACCCCTCGAGGATCAGAGATCAGGAGTTGAAGCTGGAAAGGAACAAGAGCTAGGGTTTGAGGGATGGGGTAGGACTGAAAAGAGATTTTGGCTCTGGGTGTTTCCTTGCCGTTTCCCAGGTAGTCATGACAAGCTGCAGAAGACAGAAGGACAGACTCAAAGGAGGCAGCACAGATACTAACTGTTCTTTCAATACTCAGCACACACTCTCACATCCCTCCACCATCATCCCCCTTCACTCTAACAAATACATTCTTCTCTCTTGAATTTTTCCCCAATCCCCCTTTTGTATACGGTTGGTTTCTTGTTACCCAACTTTACTCTCTGCCAACACTGCACTCTCCCTCACCACGCTCCTGTTGGTCAATCAATTTCACTCATTTCTGTTCTGCTCCTAGTTTCTATTTCACTTTCCACATCATGGTTCTTTTCTCCCTCCTTTCTGTCTTAGGTTCATAAGGCAATGAAGCCAATGATTTGTTTATTCTCAGAGGAAATTTTCTTTCTTTTTTTTTCACTTCCTGGATGCTTTGTTGCTCACCACGGGCCTCTCAAGTTGCTAACTTTCTGAAATCCTGAGGAATAGAATTCTTAGTTCTATACCTGGTCTAGCTGGTATAACTTAGCCCATACAAACTGCTGTGGCCCTTCCAGTCTTCTCATACTCTATGAATTTCACAAGATGCTGTACATTGGCTACAGATGCTGGTCTTTAACTCTAGTGCATCTCTTTTTTCCCACTAGACTATCCATGTGTGGATATCTGACCCTTCTTTCATCAGCACAAAGGTAAAACCCCAATTGGGTCTTTATTTAGACTTCTCTAACTCGTGCCTCAGACAGAAGAGCACATCTGTGCATACACACACTGGCACATACACAAATGCACACATACATGCCTAGGTATATGCCAGCCAAGCTTGGGAAAGAAGAATGAGGAGTAGCAAGTGATTTAGTGCAAAGAGGAGTCAATTCAGTCCCTTTGCTGCCTGCTTTGTGGGGAGCTTCTTGCCTCAAGTCTCAGTGGTAACTTCTCTGTGTGCTTCTCATTGAATGTTAAAATGAGGCCCACAGAGAAAAGCTCAAATGTAGAGAAACACAGACCAGTTGAGGAGTATGAGTGGAGAGACCTAGAGATAAAGACAGAGAGCCAGAGAAGGAACTACAAAGACAAAGAGAAGCACGGACACCAAAGCCAGTATAGTAGGTTGGAAAGCAGCAGGGAAGTTGGGAGCCAGAAAGCAGGAAGCTGGGCAATGGGGCACCAACTCCAAAACTATCTCTGGCAGGAGGGAATTTAGTCTCCAGACACCTGAAAGAGGGAGTGGGATGGGTAGAAGAATCAACTTTAGGAACTGGAGTTCCACCTCTCCTTGGTCCTGGGAGCTATGCCCTGCTCAGTGGTGGCCTGCCCCAGGCCTCCACACATGAGCCTGCAATCCTGTTCTGGTGGCTGAGAACCGGGGCCTGGCTACCTGGAAGCCACAGGAGCTGGGAGAGGCCCCAAGACCCCTAGGAGACTCTGGAGGAGGGGCTGGGCTAAGGACAGGGGCTGAGGTCAGCTCTGCCCTCCAGATGGGCTCATCCAATGTAGTGGCTGCTCGGGGGGCAAGCACAGTGGGGGCCAGGGGCTCTGCAGTGGGCTGGGGTGCTGGAGTGGAAAATCGGCGGATCTCCTGGACTCGGGCAGTTTTGGGGGGCCCTGAGGAGGTGGGGCCAGGAGTCTGGGGAACCTCATCAAAACAGAACATGGCAGTTTTAAGTTGGTAGGGCTGGTGCCGCATGAAATCCAGAGCCTTGATGCCCTGCTTGGCAGTCGCCCGAGGCCCCTGGGATTGGGCCTTATTAGGGAGAGTTCGGGCAGCTTGGGGGAAAAAGGGTGAGAGCAGTGGGTTGTAAGCAATAGGAGGTGGGGCTCGGATATTGGGTGAATATTTCCAGGAAGGGGGCAGTGAGGGAGTAGGAGAAGGGCTTCTGGGCCGAGGGCCAAGGCCAGGACCAGGTGTAGCTTCCACCACATACCTGTCTGCTCGGCTCTGCCGCTTAGCAAACAGCTCCCCACCCCTGCCCTGAAGCCGTGGTGGTTCAGGGATTCCAGCCGAAGGGGCTGCCCCATTCACTAGCCCATCAGGGAACCCTCGAGATGGGGGCTTAGGAGCCACTGGGGGAGGAGTCTTAGGAGTCATAGGGGGTGGTGTCTTGGGAACCATCGGAGGCGGGGTTTTAGGTGTCACGTGAGGCGGTGTCTTGTAACTCCTGCCTCCTGGTGGCTGCATGAAGTTGCAGGCTTCAGCCCCTAGGCTCAGAGCATCCTCCTCTGGACCAGATTCAGCACCCCCAGCTCGGGGTTTTTCATCCAGGTTCTGCACCAACGATAGCAGCTCAGGGTTAGGCGAGTTCTTCGTCTCCTCATTTCCGGGCCGGAACATCTGCTTCCGGGTCCCCCGACGCCGGGCTTCCTGGAGGATGCCGGTGCGGGCAGCTGGCACAGAGATGCGCTGCTCTCGAGCACTAGGGGGCTCAGGGGCCGCGGAGCCTAGGGCAGGCGCCTCTGGGCGCGCAGCCGGTCGCAGAGGCGCCGACAGGAAGATAGAAGCGGTGGAGGTCTTGGCAGCTCCACTAGGGGGAGTGGGGGGCTCTGCGGCTCCGCCTGGCGTAACAGGACGGTTGGGGGCTGGGATGTACAGGGAGCTGGTGGCCGTCACAGGGCCCGAGGAGCGTGGGGTACTGGGGGAACCGGAGGCTGGCACGTGGCTGGGACCCCCTGAAGTGAAGCTGGGCAGAGGGGTGGGCCCCTGCGGAGAGGACAAGAAGGGCGGTGGAGCGAGGCTGGGGCCTCCTAGGCTTTCATTCGCCCTCTTGGGGGCTAGGGGCCGGAAAATAACTGAGGTCGTACCTGGCCGCTGTCCCTGTAAGCCCGGGGTAAAGGGCCTGGCTGACCGGTTAAAGATGCTTGGAGCTGTAGTAGAGGCTCCACTGCCCGGGAGGAAGGGTCTAGGGCTGGCTACAGGGGCCGGTAAAAGGCTGGATGGAAGCACAGCCGCCTCCGGTGGAGCACTTTGGGCCCGAGGTGGTGACTGCAGGCCCTGCCCGTTGAGCATGGCTGCTGGACCATCCCTGGTCAGCTCCTGGGTGCTGGAGGCTGCGCGCTGGCGCTGCTGTTCAAAGAGCTGGACCCCTCGCCCTGAGGCCTCACTCAGCTGCCCTCCCAGCCCCAGGCCCTGGCCCTCTACTGCGCCTGAGCGGGTCCTGGCCAGCTCCATGTCCAGATAGGGGCTGTCCCAGTCGGACTGGTTGGTGAGGCTTCGGGCGTCGGAGAAGGCCTCCTCGTCCAGCTCGGACTCACTAGTTGGAGGGATGCCGTCCTCCTCCTCCTCAGCGCCTGTCCTAGCCGCAGCCCCAAAGCTCACTAGGGTGTACTTCTTGGCTCTCTGCCGACGTTTCTTAAACATAAGCACCCCCTTGGAGTGGGGGTTTGGGGCTGCAGTTAGCAGAGATGCAATCGTCCGGCATTTGGTCTTGGCCTCCTTCACACTCTTCTCCTGGAGGCTCTCTGCCCGTTGCAGTTCTGAGGAGGCCAGGAGGGAAAATGGTCAGTGAGCCTCTTCTAGTCCTATTCCCCAGCCAGCTCCCTCAGGCCTCCCACTCCCGGTCTTTTCATTGGCCTGACCCACAAGGTCTCCTGGCTGTGGCAAAGTCCTCTAACTTGGGGGCAGAGTGGAGGGTGAAAGGTGAAACCAAGGGAAGGCAGAGTCTAGTTGGCTGCCCTGACACCTCTCCGACCATAGCTCTCCTCCTAACCTCTCTTCCCTCTACTCTGCTCCTATTTCCCAGAGATGTGCTCTTACCCACAACACACACATTCCTCCCCTGCCTCCTTCCATTCCTGGCTGGCAATGTGGGGGTAGGGTTGAGGGGGTAGGTCACTTCCCATGGCAAACAGGGACATGAAGCAGGTCCAAGGGAGAGAAAAAATGAGAAGGGACACTTTTCTCTCACCACAGAGACCATGTTAGGGGGCCTTTCAGAAAGTTTGGGGCTTATCCCCTCTTCCCACCCCTTATCCCTTATGATAAGGACACAAAGGATCCCTAGCAACGAGGATCTTCATTCACAATTCCATGCCCATCATGCAGTCCACATCATATACATAGAAATAACTCCCATCACACATCATTTCAACAAGAATATGGGTTGTGGGCATATTTTCTCATATGTACTCTTCTCTCTCATTTCCATATACCCTAGCTTATATACACCCCAGTTCACATACATGTATGTAAATACACATGTGCCCACACAAAAACACATGTAGAGTCACTCAAATACATTCACATATATGCATACTCCAGATGGCCCTTCTTCCCAGAGTTCCCCCTGCAAAGACCCTGTTACTAACAGTTTGGACAAAATTTTAGAGCTGATATGGGCTTTCCAACCACCAAGGCACTCCTCTGTGCCTCACACTCCTGCTACTCACAGCAAGGGAGAGCCTCAGATCCAAGATGCGAGAAAAGCCAGAGTGCTGCTCTCCAAGGCAACCCTCAAAATCTTTAGGATACCTCAAGATCACCAGCTAAATATATTCTCCTTTCCCCCAAGCTGGGGCTGGGAGTGGAGTGGGTTTTGGGGGTCAGAGATGCCCCCTCTTTTCCAAGCCTTCTAGGTAGAGAGCTCAGGCAGCCACAACCAAGCAGGCACACAAGGACTATGTGTTAAGGGGAGCCAGGGCAGGGCTTCCCATGCCATGTGGGGCCTGGGAGGTGGGGCCCGGAAATGGGAGAGCTGCCCTGCTGCTAGGACCCTGCCTTGGACACAGATATTCTGATCCATGATCCCCAGTTCCTCCTGAAAAATTCTTGAAATTCCATCTACTTTCCACTCAAGATACCAAGCTCCTTTCTAATTAGAGCTCTCATTCCACCCATGCTAACATTTATACCACAGAATAATACCGTGGATGGGAGACAGGCACTGGCGTCAGAGTTCCATTCAGGTTTTTGGATCTTGGGAGAGTTTTCACCTTACTGAAGTTCAGTTTCCTCATTTGTAAATGAGGATGATAATGGCTACCTCATAGGGTTACTATGAGGATTAAGTGAGATAATGTAGGTAAATTTAGCATTTAATGGCAGCCCTAAGGCTCACTGTGAGTAACCAGTACTATCAAAGCTTTCTTGACACTAGCTGTACATGTACACAGACACTTTCTTGTTTACACATATCTTCTCCTACAGACTCCCACGTACCTTCATGTATTTATAGATTGCTCACACTTCTCTTTTCACACACACTCTCTTCCCATGAGTTTTCTATAGCTCATGTGGTCACAAACCCCTTTGACATGTGGCCATAGCATCAGCCTATTCTGAGAAAAGGGCAGTGAAACCCTCTTGAGAAAAGAAGGAAGAGGGAGGCAAAAAGAAGGAAGGGAGGACAGAGTAAGAACTTTCCCAAAGACCTCCCTTCCTAAACTGTTGATGTATTCCCCTCCATTTTAGATCCCAGAACTCTCTTGACTATGGGAGGGTTGTACCTGCATAGAACGGGTCCTGGAGCTCAGGAACTGGGCCTGGGACTTTGTCGCAGCTGGCTTGGCTGAGGGACTCTTGGCTGATGGGCTCAAAGGTGTCCATGCCGAGAAAGGCAGTGTAGGCTGGAGCAGGACCAGCCTGAGCCACCCCCCACGCCTTTTAAAGCCCCTTTGTCTTGTCCCCAGACCTGGCAGCTGAATGAGCTCACTGTGCTATTTTTGGAGCCTGACCCCCTCCTTTCTCTCGGCTGCCCTACAAGCCCCAGTGTGATGGACGTGGGCACCTGCCTACCCTCCCCCCAGCCCACCCCACTGGACAATGAGGTCTGCTTGGCTAAAAATATCTCTGAGCCACTAGCTACAGTCTCACCCAGCATGATGGGAAGGGAGAGAATGCTAAAATGAGAATTGGGGATAAGCATGGGATCCTGGGCATGCATGTGGAATTTCTTTGTGGGATACCGGACACTCTCAGGGATGCCAGACCCTAAACTTTCACATCCTTAGCCTCTATTCCAGACTTAGAGACACAAAATTCTATGGATCAGGAATCAGAATGGTGGAAGGGAGGAACAAGAAATGAGAACTAAAGGGGTAATCCTGAGATTTCCTAGGTGACAAGAAAGGTCTCTGGGGGAGGGGCATGGAAGGCATAGGACAGGGAGAAAGTTCAATCTTAGACCTTGTTCTGTAGCTCATATCAAAAATAGCAGAGAGCCTGAGATAAGTGGAACTGGCCTTTTCTGCCCAGGCCTACATTCTTGCTTAAGATAAGGAGCCAAAGATCCCTTCCTCTACCACTTCCTAGGGATCTCATGACTATCCCATAGCCTCCCAGTCCCCAGGAATCCTAATGGAACTTACAATGTCAAAGGTAGCTCTGATGGTATGCCTGCAATTAACACTGAAGAGCCCCTGTAGCCCTGCCCTGCTTCCAAATACTCCCCTGCCCCACGTCTGCACTCTGCCCTCACCCCATGTGACACCTACCAAAATCATAGCAACAACAACAAGCAAACCCTTCATCAATTCATGTCTCTTTCCAACTTCCCTACTTACCCTATTCCTGGGTTGGGTTGAACCACCTGTACCTTTTTGCCACACTCATTCAAACAGCAAAAATAATGGGGACCATGAGAATAATTATTTTCCCCTCCTACTCATCACTCTTCTCCACTTGTCCCCAAGGCTATATCCAAGGGAAGCATAAGGTATGGTTATGGAGGGGTAGATTTAGGGCTCAGATTGAAGGATCTTGGGTAGGGAAAAAGGGTTCAGGCACTCACTGGCTTGCTTGGCCTTCTGGGTGTAGGTGGTAGTAAGATCTTCTGCCACTGGGTGGGGAACAGGCCCCACCATAGGGATGAGATGAGGGCCAGGCCGGAGGGAGCCATGGGGCAAAAGCAGGGCCTCTGCCGGGGGTGGCTGAAGGGTTGACCCATCCTCCCAAGACGGGGAGCTCACACGGCTGTCCCCCTGGCTGGGAGGGCCAGCGACAGCAGGCACTGGCTCTGCAGGGCTGTCGGATAGGTAGACCTCATCAGGTGGGGCTCCTGGAGGTGTAGGCTTTGTGGGGCCTCGGCGGCGGGGTCGGCGGGGCTTCTCCTGGGTGGCAGGGCCATCAGCATCACTGTCTGTCTCTCCATAGTAAGCTTCACTGTCAGGGGGTGAGAGGAGGCTCCCAGGCTGAAGAGGCTGGGGAACAGGAGCACCAGGGGGCTCAGGACTCAGCGGAGATAAAGGTGACAGCACCTGAAGCTCACCAGGGGATGGAGATCGCACATGCCCTTCATCGTCTACCCTGGATGGGAAAGATGACAGAAATTGAGAAATGAGCTGGATGACTGACAGCTAGAGCAATCTGGAAGGAATAGGAGGAGGGAAGGGAAGAGAGGGAACTGGCATATAGGTACAATGGATAGGGTGGGAAGAACGGAGATCTGAAGACAAACTGGGAGGCAAATGTGCTTGGAGGGCTCTGAGTGGAAATGGGCTTAGAGGGAGATGTGATGATAAGGAGACAGGCAAGGGTTGAGTAGGCCCACACACTCAAATGCCCACTTGACACCCACATCCCTTAATTGCAGATACATTCATGCCCTTTAGGAGGCCTACACTAACATCTACACTCCAGAACAAACATACAAGCAGAAATGGGTCCTTGTTAGTTGCTGAAGCTAGGCCAGTGAGACATAGAGCTGAGACAGGCAATGGGAGCCCTGGGCTAGGGGAACAGGGGTGGGGTGGGATAGGAGGGGTCCATACCGTCGCACAGTGAGGACAAGCTGATTCCCTGATGCATCAATGAGGCTCATGGCACTGGCATGAGAGAGGCTCGTGCAGGAGACACCATTGATGGCCAAAAGCTGGTCCCTCTCTCGGAGTCCTGCTCTGCCAGCCTGGCTCCGTCTTCGGATCTGAGAAGGCGATAGAGGAGAGACTATAGGTGAGGGAGGGCTCCAAGGGGGAATAGACTGAAAGGAGTTAGGACAGGAAGGACCCATGTGTGGAGGGGATTTTACTTTGCAGGGTTAGAAAGTGTGGGGAGGGGCTGCAGTTAAGGGGGACTATCTAGAGGGAAGAAGGTGCAGATTGGAGGAAGTAATACTTCATATGAGGGGAGGTAGGGTAATCACCAAATCAAAGAGGCTTGAGGAAAACTGCAGAGAAAACCACCTAGAAATGGTGGTTATATCCCCTTAAGATTTTCCTCCATGGACAATGTCTGTACTAGCCAATAGTTCTCTTCTGGGCCTTAGAATCCCAGGCACCATTATTTACACAGTCAAGATTTTAGAACAGTATTCCAGATTGGAGGGAGTCCAACAGATTCTGGGAGATTGTGACTGTGTGTGTATTATATGTGTGCCACGTGTGTGCATGCACATATACATATGTTAACATAATAATGATAGTAGTGGCTATCATTTATTGAGTGCTTACTAAATGTTAGGCATGGTGCTAAGCACTCTACATGTATTATTGCTTTTAATCCTTAGAATGGTTCTGTGAAGTAGGTACTATTATTACCCACATTTTACAGTTGAGAAAACTAAGCCTGTATGGTGAAACCAAAAGGGTAACAACTTCATCTGACAGGCTGGATCTTGCCATAGCCCTCTTAGCACCTAAAAAAGTCTTGCCTAGTGAGAGAAAGGATCTGGCATAAGGAAAGGAGCACTGAAGCCATGGGTAGAGCAGGGCTGGGCTGGGCTGCGTGAGACAGCTTCAGCTCATCACATATCAGTTTAGTTAGAAATTAGAACCTTCCCTACATTCCTGGAGTTTGGAATAAAGGCACAGACTCAGCAGAGCAAAGACTGGATGGCCAGACCTGAGCCTCTGCTACTACTGTGCTACAGGGAACTGAGGCAGAATCTTTCTTTTTCTTTGCTCCCAGAAACCAGGAATTTCCTTTTTAATAGCCCCCCACAAGAAGCCAGTGCTCAGACACTACTCCCCCCACCAGACTTGAGCATGCTTCCCTGCCCACCTACCCACCCCCACTCCTCTTCACAGCCTCCCACTTCTCCCACATAGGCCACCACATGACACTTCCCAGGTTCCCTTGGGTTCCCCTTTCCCTGAACCTCAATATAGGGGCTCTCCCTTACCTTGGACACCTGTAATGGTTTCTTCTGCTCGGCACCCCCCTGAAGTCGGAAGCCCCAGGGGGCTCCCCCTGACAGTGTGACCAGCACCTCCTCCTCAGCACCCATCGCTCAGCTTGGCCTATGGCCCTTGGAGTTTGGACAGTGTCCCAGGGAGAGAAGTCGAGGTGCTGGTACCTCGTCCGGCCAGTCTGTCTGGCTGTCCTGCTCCTGCTGCCCTAGGCCTTCCCCCCCACACGACACACTACAGGCAGGCAACTTGGCCCTGGGATCAGTACAGTCCAGCACACATGTCCTGTCAATCGAGGCTGTGCTCAAAATAGCTGCCGGCTGTACTCCCTTTCCTCCCCCAGCTGTATTACTCTCAGAGCTAATTATAGTAAATTGCCCTCCCCTGTTCCCCATTCTCATGCATGGGCCCTTTATTCAGGACTCAGAGTACTAGCTCTCTGTGCACTATAACTGATGTACACCCTTTCAGGGGCTGTGCCTTCCCTGATAGGATCGTGGACTAATCCCAACCACTTTCCTCCAAAGCTCTTTTCAATGTGGCAGCAGCGGGGACTTCAATTCCAGAGCAAGGTATGGCCGGGTTTGTCCCACAAGTTCGCAAGCTCCTTGGAAAAGAGTGCCCCCTTGCTCTATGAATTTACCTAGTAATCAAAATGAAGATCTATATCCCACTGCATGCTAGGTGCAGTGTAGAGGAATTCTGATCAGCCCTGCCCCAGGTGAACTGTTGCCTCTTCCATAAAGCCTTTCCTGCCTGTCTCCTGACTCCCTACCTGTAGAATTAATCCTTCCTTCCTCTGGGCAACATATGCATCTTGTTCATATTTCTATTGTTGTATTTCTCAGTCAATATTATATTTTGTTTATATACGTGTCTCCCTCCTAGATTGTGAGAAACTTGAAGGCAAGCACTGTGTGCAACAGCCAGTCAACACCATAGAGCAATGACTGATGTACCAGATGCTCAATAAATGATTGCTGAATTAAATGGTCTCTTCTGGGGCCGGCCCCGTGGCTTAGCGGTTAAGTGCGCGCGCTCCGCTGCTGGCGGCCTGGGTTCGGATCCCGGGCGC